TTTACCTCTAACAAACTTATAACCTTTACCTCTGACAAACTTATAACCTTTACCTCTAACAAACTTATAACCTTTACCTCTGACAAACTTATAACCTTTACCTCTAACAAACTTATAACCTTTACCTCTAACAAACTTATAACATTTACCTCTAACAAACTTATAACATTTACCTCTAACATGCTTAGAATCTTTACCTTTAACATGTTTATAATCTTTACCTTTAACATGTTTATAATCTTTACCTTTAACATGCTTATAACCTTTACCTTTAACATGCTTATAACCTTTAAGACAAGGTCAGAGACCCCTTTCTGAGCGAAACCCCAGATCTCTGGGTTCCAGAAGTCCAGAAGTGGACCGTACTGGACACGCTCAGGCCTGATTACCTCCAGGCCTGTGGAATCTGGAAAAAAACTTAAACACGAGTGGAGAAATCATGAAACCATGGTCCAGGAGGTTCCAAAAGAAGTTCTGACACCAGAACCAGAACAAAAAGAGGAATGTATGTTATGCAAACAATCAGTTTTTTCTTCCCTTTTTTTTTTCGTTTGCTGCCAAAGAAGTAATCAGACCGGAAAGACGGAGGCACCGAGGAGCAGCAGCTGTCACACAACCCTCTCCTCTTTTCTCAACCCATCATCCCTAACAAGGCCGCTGTAAACACCTCCACTTCCACTGCTCAGATTGAGCTCGTGTCCAACATCAGATGAAAGGTTCAGATGTCCTCTACCGCCATTAATATGCTCCGTTTTACCCACCGCGAGCCTGGATTTGCATAGTTTTCCCTTGGCTGATTTATTGAATCATAGTGGGAAGTGCAGCTCAGTGACAGTGTGCTCACGCCGGCCTCTTTATATGATAATGCAACATCCTGGAGCTTTTTAATAGAACCGAGGAGCCGTAATAGTCTTGCATAATTTCCCCATAAAGGCCGACACAGCTGCTGTTTTACCTCCTGTTGTCCTCGCCGCTGATCGCCGGCACGCTCCTTCACCGCTCGGCAGCGGGACATCTCTCAGGTGTCGCTCCCTGATCTGTTTTCTAAACTTGACAGAGCCAATAACGGTCAGGACTTGATGTATTTATTCTGCTCCCCCCCAGCAATAATGCCTTCATTTAAATGTCTCCTCATCCTGCAGATATTAAAGCGCTCGTGCACGGAGATCCTGAGCGTGCAGCCCTCCAGTGTCTGTGTGAACCGTAAGTGCAGCGTCCCGCTAACGTTTCTCATCTACCTTCGTACGAAACTCCTCCAGACATTTCTCCAGTTGTTTGTCTAAAAAATAAAACAAAACACTCCTTTTCCAGGGTTCCTGCAGACCCTTAAAAAGGCTTAAAACTCATTGAATTCATCAATTCAAAAATAAGGCCTTAATTAGCCTTAAAATGTCTTAAACCAACCTTTCAGAGGTCTTAAAAGTGTTAAAACACGGTAGGATGGTTGTAATTTGTGTCAAATATTAAAATAATTGGTAACATTTTTTAAATTCTTTTAAATAATTTACAGATTTCCTCTCGCAGCTCGTTGTTTAGTTTTAAAAACCATTTGGCTAACATTGTTAACGTTTTTTTTCCCATTTGTGTTTATTGTGAAGTTGGTCTTAAATTTCATTTCAAGCGGCATTAATTAGGTCTTAAAAAGTCTTAAATTTGACTTTCCTTTAGCTGTAGGAACCCTGTAATTAGCCTTAAAATGTCTTAAATCAGTCTTTCAGAAGTCTTAAAAATGTTAACACATTGTAAGTAGGATGATTGTAATTCATCTCAAATATTAAAATAATTGGTAACATTGATTTATTTTTTATTTTCACATGCAGACATTCCCCTTTGACATCACTTCCTGTTATTTTACATGTAAATATCTCAACAACGGTACATCTGAGCAAAGTGAAATTATTTTTGTAATATGTTAATAATATTGGCTGTATTGGCCAATACTATGTTAACAGTATTGGCAAGAATTTGGCAATACGATACATATCATGACAGACGGGTCATGATACGATATATTGCGATATATTGCAACTTATTTTTGGTCCAAAAATTCTATTAAATAAAAACCTCTTACTGGAAAAAAAAGAAAAACCAAAATTCATTGTCTCAGAAAATTCTATTACAGACATGCGCTAGCCTTCTGTAACTTTAGAATATCGATACAGTATCGGGAAATGAAATATCGCGATATTTCAGTGTATCGATATTTTCTTACACCCCTATTAATAATGTTGGCTTTCCAAAAATGCGTTCACTTTCCTTACAAAAAAATTGATATCACTAGCTGTGTTACCATTGCAAATGTGCGCAAAACTTTGTCGATATTATGTTAATGTCAAAAAAACACAGTTTCGCAACTGTGGTGTTTCCATGAAGTAAGAAATGTTA